TTTTTTGACATTTTCATGCCTCACTATACTATGACGTTTTTGGAAATTTTCATGCCTTACCATACTATGACATTTATTTGCCTTACTATACCATGATGTTTTTTGAAATTTTTTTGCCTTACTATACTATGACATATTTTTGCCTTACTATACTATGACGTTTTTTGACATTTTCATGCCTCACTATACTATGACATTTATTTGCCTTACTATACTATGATGTTTTTTGACATTTTTTTGCGTTACTATACTATGATGTTTTTTGACATTTTCATGCCTTACTATATTATGACATTTTTTGAAACTTTTTTGCCTTCCTATACCATGAGGTTTTTTGAAATTTTTTTGCTTTACTATACTATGACGTTTTTTGCCTTACTATACTATGACGTTTTTGGAAATTTTCATGCCTTACTATACTATGACATTTTTTTGCCTAACTATACTATGACGTTTTTTGACATTTTCATGCTTTACTATACTATGACATTTTCTGAAACTTTTTTGCCTTACTAAACTATGACATATTAATGACTTACTATACTATGACGCTTTTTGACATTTTTTTGCCTTACTATACTATGACGTTTTTTTGCCTTACTATACTATGACATTTTTTGACATTTTTTTGCCTTACTATACTATGACTTTTTTGAATTTTTTTTGCCTTATTATACTATGACATATTTATGCCTTACTATACTATGACATTTTTTGACATTTTCTTGCCTTACTATACTATGACATATTTATGCCTTACTATACTATGACGTTTTTTGACATTTTTTTGCCTTACTATACTATGACGTTTTTTGCCTTACTATACTATGACGATTTTTTACATTTTTTTGCCTTTCTATACTATGACATATTTATGCCTTACTATACTATGACATTTTTTGAAATTTTCTTGCCTTACTATACTATGACATTTTTTTGCCTTACTATACTATGACGTTTTTTGACATTTTTTTGCGTTACTATACTATGACGTTTTTTGACATTTTCATGCCTTACTACACTATGACATTTTTTTTCTTTACTATACTATTACGTTTTTTGACATATTTATGCCTTACTATACTATGACATTTTTTGAAATTGTTTTGCCTTACTATACTATGACATATTTATGCCTTACTATACTATAACGTTTTTTGACATTTTCATGCCTTACCATACTATGACATTTTTTTGCCTTACTATACCATGACGTTTTTTGAAATTTTTTTGCCTTACTATATTATGACGTTTTTTGCTTCACTATACTATGACGATTTTTGACATTTTTTTGCCTTACTATACTATGACGTTTTTTGCCTTACTATACTATGACGATTTTTTACATTTTTTTGCCTTTCTATACTATGACATATTTATGCCTTACTATACTATGACGTTTTTTGCCTTACTATACTATGACATATTTATGCCTTACTATACTATTACGTTTTTTGACATATTTATGCCTTACTATACTATTACGTTTTTTGACATATTTATGCCTTACTATACTATTACGTTTTTTGACATATTTATGCCTTACTATACTATTACGTTTTTTGACATATTTATGCCTTACTATACTATTACGTTTTTTGACATATTTATGCCTTACTATACTATTACGTTTTTTGACATATTTATGCCTTACTATACTATTACGTTTTTTGACATATTTATGCCTTACTATACTATTACGTTTTTTGACATATTTATGCCTTACTATACTATTACGTTTTTTGACATATTTATGCCTTACTATACTATTACGTTTTTTGACATATTTATGCCTTACTATACTATTACGTTTTTTGACATATTTATGCCTTACTATACTATTACGTTTTTTGACATATTTATGCCTTACTATACTATTACGTTTTTTGACATATTTATGCCTTACTATACTATTACGTTTTTTGACATATTTATGCCTTACTATACTATTACGTTTTTTGACATATTTATGCCTTACTATACTATTACGTTTTTTGACATATTTATGCCTTACTATACTATGACATTTTTTGAAACTTTTTTGCCTTACTATTCTATGACATTTGTTTGCCTTACTATACTATGACGTTTTTTGACATCTTTTTGCCTTACTATACTACGACGTTTTTTGACATTTTCATGCCTCACTATACTATGACATTTTTTTGCCTTAATATACTATCACGTTTTTTGACATTTTTTTGCGTAACTATACTATGAGGTTTTTTGACATTTTCATGCCTTACTATACTATGACATTTTTATGCCTTACTATACTATGACGTTTTTTGACATTTTTTTGCCTTACTATACTATGACATATTTATGCCTTAGTATACTATGACGTTTTTTGAAATTTTTTTGCCTTACTATACTATGACGTTTTTTGATATTTTCATGCCTTACTATACTATGACGTTTTTGGAAATTTTCATGCCTTACTATACTATGACATTTATTTGCCTTCTATACTATGACGTTTTTTTGACATTTTCATGCCTTACTATACTATGACATTTTTTGAAACTTTTTTGCCTTACTATACTATGACATATTTATGCCTTACTATACTATGACATTTTTTGACATTTTTTTGCCTTACTATACCATGACGTTTTTTTGCCTTACTATACTGACATTTTTTGACATTTTTTTGCCTTACTATACTATTACGTTTTTTGAATTTTCTTTGCCTCATTATACTATGACGTATTTATGCCTTACTATACTATGACATTTTTTTGCCTTACTATTCTATGACATTTTTATGCCTTACTATAACAATTTTGACATATTCATGCCTTATTATACTATGACGTTTTTTGACTTTTTTTTGCCTTACTATACTATGACGTTTTTAGAAATTTTTTTGCCTTACTATAATATGACATATTTATGCCTTACTATACTATGACCTTTTTTGACATTTTTTTCCTTTACTATACTATACATATATATAAATTTATATAAATACACAAGGTAAAATGCAACTTCATTACATCAACATGTTCATTAAAATTTTGAATGTTTGTATATCATTTTCTTAATAATTTCTTATTGAATGTAACCATAAATGAATATATTTTATATTTACATATATAATGAACATATACTGACAGTCTTTGGGATTGCTATATATTTATGTAGCACAGGTCTATAATATAAACCTATAATATAAACAGACATACGTAAATAAATGTTTCTCTTAGGTAGGCATTCATGTCAATATATGATATTGTTGCAATTTCTAACAGGTTTCATATTTAAGTTTTACATATTTAGGCTATACTGTGTACATGTATGATTTTACTTCATATGTACATATATCTCATATACGAAAATTCAACATATGTACATATATTACATTTGCATATGGGCATTTCTGAATGTAAATTCAGATATTCTATGTTAATAAACCGCCTGGTTGACGGCATTAAAAAGTCAATCTCTTATGGAGGGGGGCAGGGTTCTTGAGTCCCTATCAATGCTGGGACCAAACCTACGCCCTTAAAGTTTTGTATTTGTGGAAGGTTTTTATATTTACAGATTACACATTTACGTACGGATTGTCAATGTGTACCCACACAAATAATATTGAGACAAATCTACCTCGATAGCATACAGGCATGCATGACTCAGAGAACTACAACTCCCACAAACTGAGTCGGACTGTGTGACCCATTTAGGTAATCGCTGGGCTTATGTAGCCGCGTGTCCCGATATGACTTGGTCTTGACGTCCCTCCTGCCTGAATGCTTGCTGTAACGTTAGTTTATCGGTCAACTGGCTTATCACAATCTCCGTTTCCCACATCTACCGCTGTGGAGGACGCGCTGCTCGCTCTACAGGTTGGTAGACTACAGAACCATCTACAAGCAGACCTACACGCCTCTGAGTCAGGACTTCACTGTAGTTAACTCGTCCTGTGGGGATTTACAGTTTCTTCAGTACTCACGGTTTATAGTTACCTCTTCGTATATTTTAGTCCCTGCGGTGACACTGTAATGTATGTGCACTTTGGATAATATTGCCTACAATTAACTCAGTACATCACTCAAGTACTGTGCTCAACCACAATTTTGAGGCACTTGAATATGATCATTTTATGTAATAATTCATTGTATTCCAGATAGAAATATTATACTCCACAGATCTGACTCCACTACATCAGTTTGTAGTTCATTTTACAATCTGATGCATTGTTATAGATCAACTTCCCCAGTGCAGTCGGGTTAAACTTGGCTCCAGCTCTGTGGAAGCAAATAATGGTCATAAAGAAGCAATTGAATACCTTCCTAGTGAATACTTTCATAAAAACGAATTACCACACACTGATGAGTGGGTCTGGATTTCCAAAATTGTTATTCTTCTATTGTCAGGTTGTGCATTTCAAAAATACTGACCGTACCTGTCACAAGGTTCAAGTGTGAATTAAGGGCCTGTATGTACCATGCACTACAGCTGCTGTTGTAGGCAGCTAAACATTCCTGGATACATAAATCAGATCAGAGCCAATATAGTCTTTGAACAAATACCAAAGTAGCCTCAGTGGTGCCTCACCGGGCCAAAGTCGGCTTCACACATCCAGTTACTTAATTTGTTGAATTTTGATTTAAATCAATTGTGTAGAGCAAGGGCTCTTCTACCTAGAAGTCGTGGTGCAGTTTTCAGTTTTCCCATTTATGTGTAAATGGCCAAATGTGATATTAAGACTGATTTATTATATAGATATTTGCAGTGTAAGTGCAATGAGATTACATTGCAAACATCAAGCTGTAGCATTTGGGTCAGCTCACAGAGGAACAAATGGTTCTCAGAAGACTTATTATTTTTTATTATTTCAGCATGCAGTGATTTCACAAAAGAAATGAAGATGATTTTTGTCTGTTTGCACCAAACTTGGTGGGAGGGATGGACCATGGGCCAGGAAAGAACCCATAAAATTGTGGGCAGTTTTGGATCGTTTACTATGAATTTGATGCAGTCCGGTGTGTGTTGTTTGACATTGGCCTTGGCAGAGGTCTGTGCTCTCTGAATGCCCTTCTAGTTGTTACTGTGCTGTTGTTATCACTGTCTCACATCCATTTTCATGCACTTGCTCTGGGGATTTTTAGAAAAGCATTCAAGGCAAACTCAGAAATCAGTAACTGAACAAAAAGTTCACCAAAAGGGGAATTACAACAATTCAACTCAAAATAACATCATTGATAATAATGACATCATATTGTGAGAGAAATATTCCTTGAGCTATATTTCCTTGTCCACAGCATTTTTTAACTGAGCATTCAGGATCCTCCTGACCCTTGAGATCAGAGGTCAAAAAGCCATGGGAACCAGGAGGGTGTTGGTGACTGGGTGCTCCTCTGGCATTGGCTTAGCTGTGGCTGCACGGCTGGCTAAAGATGAGTTTAAACGGTTCAAAGGTAAGCCATTCACTCTCCTCAACCAAATAAATGAAATACTGTAGATGAAAGAGATATTTAAAACTACTGACACCCAGTATATTCATTATTTATCTGAGGCAGTGGTTGCCACAATGAGGGATCTTGGGAAACGGGGGCCCTTGGAACAAGCGGCCGGTGATTCCTTAAATAAAACCTTGGAAATCAAACAGTTAGATGCCTGTTGTGAAGAGTCCATCAGAGAGTGTGTCAACAGCCTGCCAGATAGAAGGGTGGATATTCTTGGTCTGTCCCCTCTCATTCTCAAAGACATTTTATAAGTGAATTTAAGCTCTCTCCACAAGCATACAGTGTAATAACAGGATATTCTGCTGTTATAGTGAATAATGCAGGCACTGGCATGATTGGACCGCTGGAGTGCCAAAGTATCGCCGCCATGAAGGAGCTCTTTGACACAAACTTCTTCGGGCTGGCACGGCTGGTGAAAGAGGTGCTGCCTGACATGAAGCGACGGAAGAGCGGGCATATTGTGGTGATGAGTAGCGTCATGGGAATACAGGGTGTGTTTGTTTGTGTCAGTGAGATTTCAGGAGAAGCTAACAAATAAAAGAGCTCTAAGAGGTTACTAATAGGTTTCTTTATATTTCTACACAGGGCTTCTGTTCAATGATGTCTACTCTGCCTCCAAATTTGCTGTGGAAGGATTTTGTGAAAGTCTGGCAGTGCAAGCATTGAAGTTTAACATCAAGTAATTACAAGTCCTGAAAAATACATCTTCTTTATCAACTTGATTCAGCCTAAAACTTGAGATATCTGTACGCACACAGCAGTAGGATTTTTACAACTTGTCAACTGTAATGCAGCAGCGGTCCTATGTGTGTCTTTTTATATCTCTGTGACAAGGACGACTCTAGTGGAACCTGGCCCAGTGGTGACAGAGTTTGAAAGGAAATTGTATGAAGATGCAGAGAAGATGGATCTATCAGGAACAGACGAGGAGACCGCCAAAATCTTCCGTGAAGTTTACCTGCCATACTCAAGAAAGGTCTTTGCCTCGTTAGGCCAGAGACCAGAAGAAGTGGCCGAGGCAAGTGATTACAGTTTTGTTTCTATCTGAGTTTAAAGGTCACTAAAAATAACTGGATTTGTGAAAATGCACAATGAGGAGGTCCCTTCCAGTGTTGAAATGTTTTTATTTTCTATCATTCAGCAAACAGTTGAAGTGATCACAGCCAAGCAGCCTCCTCTGCGCCACCAGACCAACCGCCTGTACATGCCCATGACTGCACTGAAACATGCAGATCCAACAGGTCGCCTGCCTCTGGACACTTTTTATAAGATGATCTTTAAACATGACAGCGTGTTCAATGCTACTCTAGGGGTGCTGCGCATGCTGCAGAAGAGGGTAGGGAAGAAATAAAGATTTGACTGTCGAGTTGCACAGACCATAAATGTTACGCTTAAGGAGTCAGTGATTGACTGTAGTATAGTATATACATCTTGTTGTCACTGTATAATATCCAATTTTAAGATGACAGAAGTTTCCCTCTGAGGAGCTTGGATCGGGGGCCACTGGATGTTGTCTGTCTGTTATCTGTGTGAGACAGCAACTACAAAAATAGTAATGATTCCTCGTGTACTGTGTATATGCACCTGACATGTATAGACTTTATATCTTGCTGTGCAATATTTTAAACTTTTAATCTTTCTCCAGATTTTTACAGGTAAATACTGTATAGTAAAAGAAATGTGAAACATAACCACTAATTTTTTGCTCTCATGAAGTAACAATATTATATGTTTGACTGTTAAATTTTAAGGAAAATAAGAGCATGGAAATAAAACCAATACAGAAATGATACGTTTCACTGTGCTGTAATGAGTCTATTATTACAAAACTAGTTAAGTAAGGAATGATAGCACCACATTGCATATGATCTTTCATATTGGCAGAGAGAAATCAAAGAAATCAATACATGATGAAACAAAATAAATCAGCCATATTTGAAAATAAGAAAAGAGTAAATATTTAATTACTAACATTACTGTCACTGGCTCTTATCTTCATTGTAATGGCTTTCAGAGAATATTCATATCCTTTCCAAGACTCCCAATTGATTCCAATCCCAAAGGTTGAGCTGCCCCATGAGTAAAGACCATTGGCATTAACAGCGTGACATTCTCCATACCACCATCCTCCCAGGTATAGCATGGCACAGTTTTTAGAATGAGTATCCTGGTCTTTGTCAAATGTAGAAAACTTGAGACCATTATGTGCACTTAGTGAAGCCCCTGGAAAAAAGAAAAAGGAAATTGATTGATCTTGCACTTGCACATTTAGTGACAGACACTGAAGCTACCATTTCACAATCTATGAGACTCACCGCCTCCTCCGTCTGTGAAGCCACTAAGACTAAGTTTGTAGCCCTCCAGCTCTGGACCCACAGAGAAGGTGGAATAATGGACAAAGGTCTTTCCCCCTTCAAAGTCTTCCATTTCTACCCTCAGTTGATAGCTCTTCCTCAGAGTGAGGAGGTGAATGTTCTCCAGACCTGGCAGAGAACATTTACACAAGGATTGAACAAAGGCACTTTGGAGAAAAGTTGTGTACACAAAAAGAAAAACAATTAAATTCATTGAATTAAAGTTTATTTTCAAAATCAATTGCTTTTCCTTCAGCAGTGTTATAAAGCAAAAACAATTTATACAATATACTTGAGAGCAACCACGCAATAACACAAAAATCTAAATCACCGATTTCTTAAGTCTTACCCAACCAGTATTCTCCAGATGCTTGTCCAAATCCAGTTCTGTACTGATCCCATCCACGGTAAAAGTTAACGGTGCCGTCCTTTCTTCTTTGGACGACCTGGAGTGGAATGTGTAGTTAGGGGCAGTGCTCCAATATAATGTGTCACCAGCTCTGCTTTGTTAAACTGGTCCTAAAAAGAATTACTTTCCCCCTACTTGATCAAAAAATAGTTATTATAATTATAATAAGTTATTTTAAGTGATTTTAGATGTGAAAATATCAGATCCCTTTTTCTCACTCAGCTTATGCATAATCAAGCAAAGCAGTAGCCCAACCACTGTAAATTGAGGCCAAAGGTTCTGTATTTGCCTTACTTTTGTATGGCTAGATTTTCTTAACTAATGCTACTCGGTTGCTCAGTTGGCTGCATGTGTTAGCTAACCTAGCTAATTTCACATTAATATTTTTTTTTCAGTTTTTTCATTGGCACTCATTTTTAATGGCTTAACAGAAGACACAAAGTGTAAAGAGATGTCCTGCAGTGGGAATGAAGTCTAAAAGTATTTGATGAACAGCCGTTAAAGGTTGAATAATAAACACACATACCGTCCATTTACCACTATCAGGTTCATCCTGACAGCCCATGTCACAGTAGACCTGGACTGGGGAGACTGGTCCTCCTGGGTAGATGGTGTAAACCCCACTTTGACCGAAACCTCTGTTGTACAAGTCAGTGCAGTCAACTGGGAGAAACACTGGGGAGCAGACTGCCACTGGGATCAGAAGGAGTAAAACAATAAAACCCTGTAATGAAAACACAAAACCTGCAGTAAGAACCAGAAATATTTTCTCTGATAGTGTTTTAGTGAAAAATACAGTAAAGTGCATCAGTCACACCAAACTCACCATTATTGCTCTGATGTAGTAATTTGATGGTAATCCTAAGGGGTGTCTCCTAGTTTGGCACTGTAATTTTCTGGGTTTAATCTCCTGTATAGCAGACTTACAGAGCAAGCTGAACTTGAAGTAAACAGTCAGTAGTAGTAGTCTGTGTACGAGTTCACATACACATTAAAGCCTTGTTGATTTCCTTGGTGTTGACAAATTACCAGTAGCAGCTGCTACTCACAGCTAAAAATAAATCAGGAGATTTAGTTCGGCACTTATTTGGACAGAGGGGTGTACTAGAATGAGGAATTGGTTATTTTTATCCCTATCTTTCTATCTCCATTTCAGTCTTATAGTATGGAAGTACATTTGATGGAAGTGGACACAATATCCTGATCACCTACATATACAATCTAATCTAATATAAGTCTGCCACAAATACCAACATTGTGAAGCTTGCAATGTACATTGTTGATGTACATTGACGCAGACAGATCAAGAGGTGTCTTATGGTAACCTTTCGGCTGTTGCTTGTATTGGAGCACAAAACAACAGGCAACATAGAATATAATGCAATCCAATACAATATTATCACAAATTCTGATTTCAGAAATCAAAAATTAATTATTAAACCTAAGAATCACCATGATAACACTTATTGTAGGGCTGTTGTATTGGACTGAACAAGTAACATTTCAGACTATAAAAATACCATGTAATTCACCTTAGCTACATCTCATACTTATGATTGTGGGAACCTGAATTCATGAACATCCTCCTTTAAAATATGAAATAATCACTGAACACGAGGACACAAAAAAATGTAGTTCCCTACAGTTTTTATTATAAGTAACTTATTTTACAACTTTTGACTGTAGAAAGAAAAACTGTGGAAAAGTTTTATGTACAATGATTTTGAACTACTTTTAAACAAGTATTGAAATTAATAATGATAGAAAATATCTATGACTGTTCTAATAACACAAGACCAATAAAATATCAGTCACAGCCTCAGCTTCAAATAATGCTAAATGAAATACATTTTATTTTTGTCCTTTTTAGTACATAACAATCATTTTAGAAACATAAGACTTCTCAAGCAAGGATCTACCCAGAGCAAACATATTTACAAACAGAAGTTGGGAGGTTGAAATGTACAAAAACACTTAGTGCGACCTGGTAGGGAAATTAAAAAGACCAGATATATATAAAAATAATAAAAACAAAAAACAAACAATAAACAGTAAAATTTGAACTGGACTGTGAACAACAACATGTTTCCCAGGTCTGACAGAACAGTGGCTGAGTCTATAGTGAACAGGATAAAACAATGAATGGAAGATAAACTCAGTCTATGACACAGTAAGGGGCTGTATTAGATTACCACAATAGTAGTAGCAAAGAGTGGTGGCCTTGTCACAAGATGAAAATGCAATGGTTACTTTCTCAAAATTCTACAATTATCAATTGACTTTATGCTCAAATGTCCATAGTGTGTAAAAGAGAGGATGACCTCTATCCTGTACACTCAGGTCAGGATAAAGAGTTGGTCAGACATTACACAAGGTGTTAGTTGGATGACTGGGAGTGTCATCTCAGAATTTTGCAAAAAGTTAAAGGGTGCAGCACTACATAGTAGTGTTTTTAACTTCAGTCTCTTCTAACAATCATCTTAAGATGCGACTCCATGGCCCCTGGACTGGAAGCTACTGTAGATGCAGGGGAACTGTCCCACTGCATGCCATAAAACACCTCCCTGAGGAGTGACAGGGCATAAGCAGTCACAGCCCAGCAGCCACACCCTCACACTGACCACTTCTCCTCCACAGACAGTACCAAATACGAGGTGAGAGTGTCAACGAGACCTCAACTGCCACACATAGTCCAGGAATGTTTCCATATAGTCCAGGGAAGGACGTGATGCGACCTCAGCAAATTAAACTTCCACCTATCTGTCATCTGGTTCTTTTCTGTGTTGGATGCTGCTGAAAAGGCAAAGAGTCCAGACTCAACAAGACAGGCAAAATGTAGGAATGTTTGCAGGGAAGAGTGATATAAAATAGCAGCTGATAAGCATAGCTTAGTACATCCGAAGTGATGTTAAAAAAAAAGGTATCCATGGTTTCCACAAATATACAGAGTACAAAACAACTGGAACAAACAAAAAATTAATACACAAACTAAAAAAGGGCAGTGAGAGGCTGATTTTAGGCAAACAATTCTTTCTTAAAGTGAATGAAAACAAGCTTCAAAACTGAGGGTATCAGGGCTGGCAGTAGACCTGGAGGTAAGAGTCCTGTAAAGTCAGTGAGAAGCTGCAGATGAAATGGGAGCATTAAACCTAAAATTTTACTCTGCTCATTTATTTTGAAAAGTCATAAGTAATGTTTCCATGGATTAAATGCCACCCATGTATTATAAATATCCACTGTGGTTAAATGTTGTATTGTACCCACACTTGCCCTGTGAAGCCGGTCACTTGAAGTGCTTCAGAGACACTCATCTACATTCCTTTTCATAATACTCATATGGAAAATAATCAATTACCACAATTCAATCAAATCAGAACATATCACTACTGCTGAGCAACTCTCAATATATATTTGCTAGAGCCAGTTTATCATCTTTACCAGCTGTTGTTGGCCTGAATAAATATCAGTCAAGAGGTGAAAAGTCCTCTGTCTGTCTGTTAACTGGTCTGAATAATGAATTATATTCCTTTACCGGCCACACTGGCTAAATGAAATGTAGGCGGTCTGTATAAAATAAGACGGGGTGGCACATCATGTGAGAAGCTGGGGGACAGAAAGAGGGTGACAAAAACCTAAAGAAAAAAGCAGTTCAGAGAGATAAAAACAATAAATAAAAATAAATGAATTCCCTTCAACATTTTACTTTTTTCTCTTATCTACTTTTTTAAATGTTTGTTAGTTTAAAGGAGAGTATCCCTAAGTCTTTGAAATGAAAGACTTGGTTTTCTTCATATACTTTTTTTTTATAATAAAAAACAAGTCCATCTGTGACAGAATTACTTCATTAAATTGTCTGCTGTTTTTTTCCAGACAACACACATTTCCCTTTACTTTTTTCTCTGCAAAAATCACTAGCAGACGGTCCTTGTGATAAACATAGTCAATCCAAATCCAATGAAAATCTTGGAAACAGGCTGACACATAGAAACACAGACAGGCCCAAGAGCCAGTCCACAAATTCTTTTACCCCAGGTCCCTTTTCAAGCAGAGGCCATAGGATCTTCATGCAAACACCTGCATTTTGCCATTGGCCTCTGGGATTTGAGTAATTTGGGTCTGGGCAGGGCCAGCAACTGCTGGGCTGGGTGTGGAATCTGACCAATCGGAGACGCAGTGAGGAGAGGGGCTGGACCAGGGCTCAGGAGACTCTGGGGAGGGTGTCAGATACGGGTGCTCACTGGGCAAATGGAGGTAATGCTTGGGCGTGGCATCCATTGCGGATGAGTAGCTATGCTGGGAGGGAGGGGTTGGGTAATCCTCCGTTCCTGCAGTGCTGCTACTTGGCTGGGAGGGCAGAGCCTGAGCGGGCTGGGCTGCTGGCGTGGCTGCCTGTGGAGGCTGAGCAGGGGGCTGGGGCTGAGAAGGTTGCTGAGGCATCTGCTGCTGCTGGAAGAAGGATGGTGGAGGTTGTGAGGTCTGAGGAGTTGGTGGGGTGGAGGTGCCCATGCGGGCCATACTCTGCTGGTTGGTGATGGTGTGGTTGATGAGCTGCTGCTGCTGCTGCTGTTGTTGCTGCTGCTGCTCAGCAATGGAGGGCAGCTTGACTGGGCTGATAGTGGGTGTGGAGGTAACAGGAGTGGGCTGCAGCATAGGATTACGGAAGATCTGTTGTTGGTGCATCAGCATGTTCTGCTGCTGCATGGCTGGGCTTTGGGGGTGCATGCCCGCCTGGCTACTCTGCACAAGATTCACCACCTGCTGACCACACTGGGAGGAGGGGGTCATCCGGTTGTGCCAGTCAAAGGGCACACTGACAGGACTGACCATGCCCATGTTGAGCCCCATCTGGCCTGAACTCAGCACATAGCCATGGTTGACATCAGAGGCCATGGAGACACGTCCCTGCAAGGACATTCCTCCAGCTCCCAGGTCATTGAGCTGTGCTAGAGACACAGCAAAGGGCCCACCTCCCTCCAACATGCTACTATGTACCATTGGGGTGTTTGGAACAGACATGGAGGAGTGGAAGAGCCCTGGTGACTGCATCGCCACAGGAGAAGTGGGGTTGGTGATGTAGCCAGCGTTGCTAGCTCCCCCATGGGGTGAGTCCAGTGAGTCAACTGGGGACAGGGTAACTGAGCTCTCCAGTAAGGCACTCTGCATGTCCAAGGTCAGCTTCTTATTGCGGGCCTTGACTGACTCCTTCAAACTGGAAGCATGCGGGCCTCCCAGGCTAGAACCCTTGGCCCCAGGCCGACGATTCTTCTTGCCCTGTGGGGTGTTCTTCAGACTAGGCAGGAAGGCACTGGGAGGGCACATGAGAGGAGACAGAGTGTGTCCACCAGTGAGGTGGTGTCCAGCCCCTCCATGGCCCTGGGGACTTCTTACTGTATTGTACTCATCAAGAAGCTGAACAATGTCGTGGTGCATACGCTCCTGAGCAATGTCCCTTGGCAATCTGTCCATATGGTCTGTGATCTCTCTGTTTGCAAAGTGAGCCAGCAGCACCTTCACAGCCTCACAGCTGCCCTCACGGGCTGCAAGGAACAGAGGGGTCTCCTCCTGAAAAGAAAAACAAAACAGAGGCAGTGTTAGACACATATATACCTCTAGTTAAGCCAATGCTGAAAGTGTGGTAACAGTGTGGTAGATGGCGTACCTTGAGATCTTGCATATCTTTGTTTGCACCGTTCTTCAGTAGGGCAACAGTTGCATCCACATTATTAACTGCAGCAGCCCAGTGTAAGGCAGATTTACCTAAAAGAGAGACGACAAACAATGACATTACAAATCTATGGTATCCGTAAATATTGTTGCCAAACAGGAAAATCTCTTCTGTACATTCACTTGAGTGAAACATGACAAACACATACCCAATTCATCAACTGCATTGACATCAGCATGACAAGTGATGAGTTCCTCTACCATGCCCTCTACTGCCAGCCGTGCA